CCTCTCACAATATATTTCTTTACAGATCTATAACTTCAGCTCCTCAGAAATTCACGCAATCATGCTGCACGTATCAGAAGTTCAGCGCTCCAACACTACATGCGTACCGCGCCCGAGCCCAACTGAACCGTGCTCTGGCCCACACCCAACTGAGCTAGGGATGGTTAAACAAACCACGCCCGAGCACTGCATGGCGTGATCACATTAGTCAAATGAAACGAGCTTTGGGAGTCAAATGCACTCCGGCACGATTAAGATTGCTTGGTCTGATTCACCCTTATTCTCCCGCATACACAAGTCTCTACCTGGCCGCACTCTCCCATCAAGTGTTCTCACGCCACACTCTGCTGCGTTGGGTTCCGCGATCATGCAGGTCTCTACTCGGAAGGTACCTGTTATAATGTTATGATCAAGGCAGTAATGAAATTAGCTCTTTCAAATTCAAAGGGAATCGAATCTGAAGATTCAAAATCAGCTTAATTAAGCTGGATTCAAAATTGATAGTTTACACTTGATCAACCATTCATCCAGCGAACATTAAAATCAGTATATCTTAACAATCTTGATATTTGTATTATACCCTGGCCAAGGTCATAATAACTGTTAGTGATGATTTATTAAGCTACGAGCTACGTAACAATCACGCGGTAACACAAGGCCCTCTCACAATATATTTCTTTACAGATCTATAACTTCAGCTCCTCAGAAATTCACGCAATCATGCTGCACGTATCAGAAGTTCAGCGCTCCAACACTACATGCGTACCGCGCCCGAGCCCAACTGAACCGTGCTCTGGCCCACACCCAACTGAGCTAGGGATGGTTAAACAAACCACGCCCGAGCACTGCATGGCGTGATCACATTAGTCAAATGAAACGAGCTTTGGGAGTCAAATGCACTCCGGCACGATTAAGATTGCTTGGTCTGATTCACCCTTATTCTCCCGCATACACAAGTCTCTACCTGGCCGCACTCTCCCATCAAGTGTTCTCACGCCACACTCTGCTGCGTTGGGTTCCGCGATCATGCAGGTCTCTACTCGGAAGGTACCTGTTATAATGTTATGATCAAGGCAGTAATGAAATTAGCTCTTTCAAATTCAAAGGGAATCGAATCTGAAGATTCAAAATCAGCTTAATTAAGCTGGATTCAAAATTGATAGTTTACACTTGATCAACCATTCATCCAGCGAACATTAAAATCAGTATATCTTAACAATCTTGATATTTGTATTATACCCTGGCCAAGGTCATAATAACTGTTAGTGATGATTTATTAAGCTACGAGCTACGTAACAATCTCAGCAAAGTTTTAACTTTAAAATACACCACAGAAGACAATGATTCATTATAATGAAACAAGAAATTTACTTGTCACTCTAAGGATACATTAACTAAAACTACCAAAAGCACACGCACACTTTAGAGGATGAGAGTTAACGGAGTTTGACTGAATTCCCAAAAGTCTAGTATTTACTCCTAGTTCTTAAAATCGCACCAAGAAAATCACAGAAGCAGAGATTTGGCTTATCTTTAGTTGCTTAAGATGGACAAAATCTTCTACTTGCTTAAATTGGTGTTAAGTCAGTTTACTTACGTTTGCACTGGAAAGCGGGGTTTCCTTTTCTGGCTGAGGGAGTCCCGGCATTGCTGATTGGCTGGCGATCTTCCTTTATGACGTCTTTGGGATTCACTTACGTAGGGTGACGCGTTCAAAGTTCTTCTTAGAGTCGGTGTTGACCGGCTTAGACCTTGAAGATTTCGGCAGGGTCACGAAGCTTCACGGAGAGTTTGAGAGTTCTGGATGGCCCAATCGCGTGATGGTGTGGTGAGGGAGGGCAAGTTGGAGTGCTATCAAACAAAGTCAAAAGAGCGCCGAATCAGTTATTGACATTGGGTTTTAAGCGAGCCGACTAAGTCCGTCCCAGGAGTGATTGTCCCAATCAGACATGGGTGCAGGGCGGAGCCACACCCCGTACGGTTCCTTTCCGTGCATAAATTAACATTATGCTTAGTCTTCCACATGGGGAATACCCTTGCAAGTTGTGTTAACTTCAATAAAGTGTTGTACTACGAACACTGTATATCATACCAACTTTTCCATTCACACCACGGTTCTGCGAATAAAACAAGCTTTTATTCTATATCAAATATCAGGTATCTTGCATACACAATACATTTAATAACCATCTATAAAAAGGGGTTATAAAACATTGATTAAATTCCATAGGTTACAATAAACACATCAAGCATATATAAGCCAAAGCATATTATTTGGGAGTGTAGTCACCCTTTTATCCTTTAAATGATTATCTTTTTAAATCGTCCATGTGAGTTTGCGTGGATTTCTTTGTCAGCAAATAAAGAAAAGAAAAAACAAAAAACAAAAAAAAAAACACGCGTTTTCTGGAATAGAGAGGAAAGGAAGAAGGTCCTGAGGTCAGGGAAGGGTCACGCGGTGGGGATCTGGTGAGTTTCCCAGCTCAGAGTGAAGCTGTAAATCTGTCCATTTGATTATCGATTTTATGCTGAAAATGGTCATGTGTATCACAGGCCATCTGTTGCTCGAGTTAAACGTTATCACTGTTCCTTAGATCCTTTGTGTTAGCAGACCTGTAGAGCATCCTGTAAATTACCCTTTTCCTGTGTCTCCTACATGGATTTGAGCGAAGCTGCTCAAAAGGGGACAATCAACCATTTGTGACTGACATGGTTCTAGAACAAACGGGAGTTCTCTATCCACCTGATTGGCTTAGGTTGTGCAAGAAGTTGAAGTAGCAGGTGTCTTGCCATGTCCTCAGCTGGAATGTAGGATTTAACGAATTCCAACATGACAGCCAAGTCTAATAAAATGTTTATAGTGATGGATTACCCCACCTATCTGATATCTGAGCTCAGCAGCAATGGATTTGCACCGGCAGCTGACTGACTCAACCCACTACTTAGCATTGATCAAAAACTGCATTGGAGGATCATATTTTCCAACAAGGCTTTTTGGGGAACATGGCCCGACCCAGTTAAGAGGGCAATATACACAGTGTTGTAAATATTAAGAAATCACAGGAGGACTCACCTCAGCAGCAGTTGATTTTCCAAGAGAAATTAACACTGTCAGGACCTCATTGGAACGAAGCAGACAATTAAATACTACATTTGTAACTGATGCATCTAGAAGAGTATCAGGAACACTGTGAGCTGCTTGTGAAAATTAGATCCATCTGTGAGCTGAAATGAGCCATTTATAATGAAGTGAGATTAAAAGATCTTGGAATTCTGTAGCACTGACAAAGCCAGAAATGTGCTCTTTAAGAGGTCCAGAATACCTGTAGGATGAGATCACATAAAACATTGAATAAATATTTGGAGTTGCAAGAAACTGAAACAAGACAAACATTAAAGGGACAGTTCACCCAAATATGAAAATTGTCATTAATCACTCACCATCATGTCGTTCCAAACCTGTAAGACTTTCGTTCATTATCAGAATACAAAGATATTTGATGAAATCCAAGAGCTTTCTGATCCTGCATAGAAAGCAACGCAACTAACACATTCAAGGCCCAGAGAGATAATAACAAGGTCATTACAAAAGTCCATGTAACAGTGTTTAACCTTAAAATATATGAAGCTATGACAATACTTTGTGTGCAAAGAAAACAAATAGTGTAGTAATAGTGGTAGTTCCATTGAGTCTATGCAGGATCAGAAAGCTCTCTGACTAATGACAATTACTTAATTTATTTACGGGTGAACCATTCCTTTAAATACACCAGCTTCTCTACAGATCCTAATTTTAAATGAAACTGATTTTGGTTGAGGGGAAAGGTGTTGCTTTGCTCATGTTAGTCTTGACTGAGACCCCGATTCGACCAGAGGACAGAGTGTTGCTACAGTTGGAATGAAGTCAGCTTTGGGATTCTGGAATTGACAGACGGATGAGGAAAACAAATTCAGTGGGTGAGCAGCAAAAGGACATAGAAAATTAAGCATAGAGAACAGAACAAACAGAAATAGTATCAAACAGACAAATATCAAGATGCACAGCAGACATGTGGAGTGCATTAATTAAACTCAAACAATAAGTCACAAGAGGTCAAATTACAAGCAGTTATCAATGCAGCCATTAATGAACAACCATTGAAACTCTTGTGTGCACATTGCTATATGGATCTCGAACTTTTCTTGTCACTAAGTTTGGGGCACCCATCTATCTGATATCGGAGCTTAGAGGGATTGTAAGCTGTTGACCAAGTAAAATGACCAATTTGCACAATGCTGTAAATATTTTAAGGAAGGTTTACTCAAATCTTTAGAGGATTCTTACCTGGGCAGCTGTTGATTCTCCTTTGGCACAGTCAGATGCCTTTCACCACTCCAAACAACTCCTGTAAACACAGCATAAGACATAACACAGCATCTTTCACAGTCAATATTACGTAAGGACCACATAAATAGAATGTTTTACAACAATGTCTTTATTAATAGACTTCACGGACTGTTGACAATTTGATGACATTTAAAAAAAATAAAATAAATAAACATTTTATGCATCTGCTGCTATAGCATAACTTGAGTCCATACACATTTACTCTTATCAACTCCAGTTTGTACAATCAGGGCAACACTGAGGATGTTGAATATCAAGGGCTTAACAAAAATGGCACTTTACTTGGATTAATTACATGCACAGCAATGTTTTGCAACCACTGCGTTTGTTCTGTATCCACAATTTAAACCATTATGATTCAGCACTGCTCGGAAGCAAATAAACACAAATAGACCTATACAAACTTTGTGTGTATGAATTTCTTAATGTTACACACCCATTTCCAGCGACAACGGAGCATTTGAAAAGTGAATAACTTAATGCTCAAATTCACAGATCATTGGTGAATAAAATAAGAATCAAGTTCCTTCAGAATGTGCCTGCATTGAGTCTTAACTGAAAAGCAGACAAAAAAACACTAGTGATAAAATAAACAATTATGGAAGTATAATTCACAATACATGCAGAACACTCTCCTCTGAGGCAGTGTTCAGTCTCCTCTGTTTCTCTTGATTCAGCTCTTCACATCAGAGTCAAGCTGTGCCTCCAACAGCACTCGCTAATGGGAAAAAAACAACAACTCCTGATTGGCTCATTCAAACTCAATATAAACCTTCTACTGGTTAGCTTGGAGAGCCTGATGTCCTGCCTTGACAAAAACTCACCTGCTTGTAGCTTTCTAGTAACACTTAGACCTTGATTAGTAGGTTCAGGTGTGTTTGATTAGAGTTGAACTCTGCAGGACGCAGGCTCTCCAGGACCAGTGTTGGCCACCCCTGGGTTAGATGTTTCATTACCATGAAATGCACAACTATACAGGCATGGTAAATAATTACAGGAACAAAGTACAAGAGAAAAAGAAGCATTAAAAAAATCACTCACGATTTCTATCTCCAGCAGATTATTCACTCTCCATACTCCATCTTACACTGACAATCCTGTGAAGTTTCAGCTTGTGAGCATTTATACTCATGGACACAACCATTGAGCAAGCAAGCAAGCAGGCATTACATTCAACAAATAACCAAATCTCAAGATTATAAACTTTGTACATGCATTAATCCACAAATTATTATTTAACAGCCATTTATGCATAGTTCAAGTAATAAAAAATAAATTTAAAAAATCGATTTTATCCTCAAGTTTGGTTTCTCCCACATCCCATGATGCACCAAAGCAAGCTTATTTGAAACCAGCATAAATAGGAAAAATGCAAAAAAAACATAAATACCAACAAGAATACATACTATGAAGTTCCGTTACTCCAAGTATATGGAAAACGGTGACAGAAATTTCACTCTGTTACAAGGGACATAAAAGCAAAAAGGACAAGGTCATAATCCTAAATGCTGCATATGTGCGGATTGCAGAAGGACATAAATACAGAAAGATGCACAAAATGACTAATTAAAGCAAAAACTCAAAAAGAATTATAAAATGCTAATGGTCACATAATGAAGATATACAAACTTAAAAGCAAAATTACAGAAACAGACATGCACTAACATGCACACTAACAAGAACAGAACTGAATCTTTTCTAAGGCACGCAGAAGCAATCAGCACAATAAATATGGACTACCTTTAAACAAGCATAACTTGTTAATGATGGTTTACTAAATTAACCAGTAATCAACTACACCTAAAGGGTGCACACTGTTAAATATATCTAAATTTGTTTTAACTAAGTTTGGGGCTCCCCGTCTAGCTCAGAAGTCACACCCACGGACCGTTGGCTGAACGTCTGATGCATACGGCACACAAAACTGGAAACACTTCAGGAGTTTCAGAGTCGTCATTGGATTGGTTGAATTATACAGGATTTCCGGGAGACGTGTGTGTCATGTTATTTCACATTCCGACCTGGAAACAAATATGCTGTGATTCCAAACCCCCTCATGGAAGAAAGCCATCATGTTTATAGCTGTGACAATGAGCACTTATTAGGATCCACTATATGCTGGTTTTCAAAAGTATGTGAAATATGTAACATTCGCGGCATAGACTTCAAAATATGTCCAAGAGTTTTACACAAGAGTCTGTTATTGTGGGGAGATTTCCACGCCCCTAAACATGACGTGGCACAAAACAAAATGTGATTGGTTGCTTTACCTGTCAGTCATATGGCCTCTTGGGCGGTCCTTGGCCATTCAAAGTGACCAAAGTTTTCAGACTTTCTGCCATCAGTCTGAAGGTCTGGCTACATGAGACTAGGTTGAATCCTGCTCTATATATGACAGAAGAAGTTGAGGCACTATTCTCCACGTTTCCAAAGGCCAAACACAAATGAGGCTAGAAGAGCTTGGAGTACTTAATTTGAAAGTGCTGGATAATGCTAAATGTAAATTCAGTAAGATTATTCACATCGGCACTAATGATGTCCGACTTTGCCAGTCGGAGATAACTAAAAATAACATTCAAGAGGTGTGTGAACTTGCAAGTACGATGTCGGACACTGTAATATGCTCTGGTCCCCTCCCTGCTTACCATGGTGATGAGATACATAGACATCCAGCCATTGAGTGAAGACAGTCCGCTAAGTGGTGCCCGCAGAATAACATAGGTTTCATAGACAATTGGACGAGTTTTTAGGGCAGACCTGACCTGTTGAATAGAGATGGTCTTCATCCCTCCAGGGGTGGTGCCGCTCTTCTCTCTAGAAATATGGCACATAGTCTTAGAATTTGTACTTGACTAACTGAGGCCTGTAGTGTATTGAGTTGAATACACCCAGAATAAAATCAAGAATAAGCACTGTTGGGGTACTCTGGGTTAGATTTTGGTTGGCCAATTAATTGTCCAAAAAGACACCTGTGTTAACGGAGTTTGTGATTAGGTAATTGCACAGTAAAACAAAAAGAAGAACTGCCCATCGTTGTCCCGACTTTTATTTGTGTTATTTGAACAAACACAACACGGCCCAGTTCAGGAAGCAGACAGATTGGCTAAACTGACCGTCTGCTAGCCGCCTCACGTCACAGAAGTCAGTTAATTCTCAGCACATAGAGACTCTTTCACCTAGATATCATACTATAGAGACTGTGTCTGTTCTCCGAACTAGCAAATACAAAAAACGTCCAAAACAATTTAAGTGTAACAATTTAATTGATGTTCAACAAATAGAAAACAGATATAATACAGTGTAACGAATCAGCTCATGGGAAATATGAATAATTAATCATAACTAGTTATGATTAATTATGAATATTTTAGATCCGCTGTAGATATTTAGCTGACCTCTCAAGCGCTTAGGATGTTCTTGAGCGTTGGAGCGTCTTATCGAAACCTAACAGAACCACCGACTGGGTGGGTCCCTGGAGCGGGGCCTTTAAGGTCGGAGAAGATCCCCGCCTCTCAAGATGGGATTGTCCAATGAGAAAGATGGAAATTCCAAGCGGGAGGTGGCAAATTGCTGGTGGGTTTTACGACCCTTTGTCTCTAAGCATGGTAATTTGCAAATGGACTTGAATCGAAATTACTAAAGATTCTCAGGACCCTAATCACACTAAACAAGGTAGGATTACATATAGTGAAAGGATGATAGGAATGGGTTCCCTCATAAGCATGCCTAAAATAGTCTAAAAATATCAAAGACAACATACACCATGACCTGAAGGATACACTGTTCATTCAAAGAAAGGTTTTCCTATGAATTAATTTGTAGAAAAGTCAATTTCTACTGTGCATTTGTGCCTCTTGCTTCTGGAAAATGCAGCTGAGAGTCTTTGCTCACATTCCACAAGGTCGTAAAAGTATCTGGTGTCAGGGTTGTTATGGAACCAGGGGCCTGTTCGGCTTCCTGGGGTGTTACAGAGTATTTGTTAAATCTAGCTAACCAAATATATATTGTGTGTTTGAGTGGTCCAGACGCTACAACAGATAAACAAATGATAAAGCTTGGCTTAATGAATATTAGATCCCTTTATACAAAAGCCCTTTTTGTAAAAGATATGATCACAGATCATAACTTAGATGTGCTCTGTTTGACAGAAACCTGGCTAAAACCAGATGATAACATTATTTTAAATGAGTCTACCCCCCAACATTGCTGTTATAAACATGAGCCGTGTCCAAAAGGCAAAGGGGAGGTGTTGCTACAATTTATAACAATATTTTCAGTATTTCTCAGAGGGTGGGCTTCAAGTATAACTCGTTTGAAGTAATAGTGCTTCATATAACATTATCCAGAGAAACAAGTGTTAATGATAAATCCCCTGTGATGTTTGTACGGGCTACTGTATACAGGCCACCAGGGCACCATACAGATTTTATCAAAGAATTAGCTGATTTTCTATCTGAGTTAGTGCTGGCTGCAAATAAAGTCTTAATTGTTGGTGATTTAAATATCCATGTTGATAATGAAAAAGATGCATTGGGATCAGCATTTATAGACATTCTGAACTCCATTAGACAACACGTGTCAGGGCCCACTCATTGTCATAATCATACTTTAGATTTAATACTGTCACATGGAATTGATGTTAATTGTGTTGAAATTCTGCAGCAGAGTGATGATATCTCGGATCATTATCCAGTCTCGTGTATACTCTATATAGCTAAAGCTGCAAATTCAACTCCTTGTTACAAATATGGTAGAACCATCACTTCTACCACAAAAGACTGCTTTGTAAATAATCTTCCTGACTTGTCTCAATTCCTCAGCATATCCAATAGCTCAGAACAACTTGATGGTGTAAAAGAAACTATTAACTCTCCCTTTTCTTGCACTTTAGATACGGTTGCTCCTTTACGCTTAAAGAAGATTAAGGAAAACAGTTCGACACCGTGGTATAATGAGCATACTCATGCCTTAAAGAGAGCAGCCCGGAAAATGGAGCACAGCTGGAAGAAAACAAAAGTAGAGGTATTTCGTATTGCATGGCGAGAAACTACATCTACTTATAGAAATGCTCTAAAAACTGCTAGATCTGCTTACTTTTCGTCTCTCTTAGAAGAGAACAAACACAACCCCATGCATTTATCATAGTGTACATGGAATCTATAGCTAGCTGCACTTGGTGTAAAGCATATCGCTAAGAAAATACTGCTATTTTCACTTAGTGTAAATAGCCTCTATCGCTATTTACACTTAGTGCAAATGGCCGCTGCCATTGATTTTTTTATTCAATTTATTATTGTTTAATTTGATCATATTTAATCTTTTAAAATGTTTTATTTAATGTGTGTAATTTTAGTTTGTATTTGTATTTGCTGTAGAGCTACAATTGTAATTTGTAAATAATACAATTTAATTCAAATTTATTTATTTACTTTTATGTTTTATTAAAGTTCTATTTTGATCCCTATAGTAGTTTTTTTTAAATTGGATTATTTATATAATATTTGGGGGAGGGGGCACAACAATACAATTCTGCTTAGGGCACCCATTTGGCCAGCAGCAAGTGGACTTTTATATTCAGCTGCATAAAACTAAACAGGGTTGAAAACCTGTTTAAATATGTTCACCATGGTCCATTTATGTACATAAATTAATAATAGAATAAACTATATAATTTTATTTTAGTAAGATATAAGTTAACATTTAACCACTTTATATATATTTTTTCATATCATTACAATATTCAAGTAAGTCGAAACCAAATACTTACATTTAAAGTGTAATTCGGTAATTAAAAGTAAAAAAAATTAACAGTTCAGGCTCCATTTATTTTCGTTTTCATTAACAAATAACATGCACGGCAGCTCTCTTCTCACACTGTTGCTACGTGACGGGGTGGCAATCGGGAACACCTGGTGGTGTCACGGTCAACAGGAAGGGACCCAAATGCAGAGTGGGTGTAACAAGATTTATTGAGAACACACAAGTTCACAGCACAGGGGTGAACAATCTTGGGACAGCTCCAACCAGCAGGGAGAGATCAATGCCCTGAGAGGTAGACAGTCTGGGGGACAGTCTCAGTCATTGCTAAAATCTGGGCGGGAGGA